GACTATTAGTTCTTGCCCACTCATAGTCCTTCCGGCTAAACTTCATGTGTATCGCTTGAGAGATGCCAGAATTTAGTCGAAAGAACATGGGTGGGCAAAAAACAATAGTCATGTATCAATTATGTGAAATTAGTATAATACCCTGATCAAACTTCTCTATTTGATTGGAAATACATAAACATTAATGAAGCGTTTGTATATGCACCATGATGAGGTTGATACGTACAGGTGCACCACTAATTCCATCATATGCATTGTTATTTATTGATTTTAGAAACCAGCAGAAGACTACCTTCCTAAACTTCTTATAAAGGAAGGGTTTCCAATCAGTATGGAGGACATGGATGGTCTGCATGCTTGGAACTTCAAGTTCAGGTGTGAGTTCAATCCATCAAGAGTTGCATATAGTTTAAATAACATCTGGTCCACCCGTCCACCCTATACTACTAGCTTTTGGAGCAAGGACTCACATTTTGAATCAATGATGATGATCACTATAAGTTCTAGTGTACAAGTCCACCTTTACCTTATATACAAAGTATATTATAAAAGTGGGAAAACTTGGGTCCATTCTAAAGCATTAACCAACAGGAGCAATCCAAAGCCTTTTGTGAATCTGTATTTTTATAATTCGTTAGTGTCGAAAAGCTTAGGATGTCTCGCAATTGAACTACTTTTTATTAGGACTGGATGGTCCCAATTTATAGGATACAACACAGATACTTTTATTTGTGCTCATGACTTAGTTTTACCCCTATTTGAAGCATTTTCCTTATATGGAGTATTATATAGGTCTATACAACCCCATGAGATAGAGTTGAGAAAGTGTCCATCACATGATAGAATCCTAATACAACATACATTTGCTAGTTAAGGTAATGCCCATCTAGGGGTGCCATACATCGGTCGTGAGTGCCTAGCATGCCTAATTTAACACTAACTATATGCTGCAACCTGCAGGTTCCATAGTCAGAGGCATGAGATTTATCTTTGATTCTTTCCTTCGTAGTTGCAACTTTTAACTTTGATTCTTCCCTGTTTACAGGTACTGGCCAAACAACAGCAGTCGCATGTACGTGCTTGAAAATACAGGTGCAATTTTCTAAACCGAGTATCTGCTTCTTGTGATAATTTTCTCGATATCAGAGACAATAAAAGGTCTTATTGTTGATCCAATATGTATAGGTGGATTTGTGCACGAACATAGTCTGGGGCAGGGAGATTTCATTGCTTTTTACATGGATGAGCACAAACAGAACTATGTGTGTAGCTAAGCCTGCCTTATCTTCATCTTATTCTTTGTTAACCTATATGCATTATACAGGCTGTGCCCGTCTTAGACTTTTAGAAGACCTTATTCAATAACAAACATCAGGCCTTCAAGAAAACAGGAATTTTATTAATATCAAAAAAGAAATACAGGAGGGCATGAAAACAAGGCTTAGTGCCAAACCCCTCCCACAGGGGCATACCCGAAAACATACAAGATATAAACAAAGCAGAATGGGGGAACCTAGCAATAAAAGTTAGGCCTTATGCCCTATGTAACAAAAATTATGCACTGTTTATTGATCTAGAAACATGCTTCACAAATCATCATACAATGTTCATACTCTTTCAGAATACATACTAAAGTTTTTTAAATGAAAAATAAAAGAACTTTCGTATGCTATATATGCTCTGTACTTTAGAAATACTAAAATTGTTCACTTTAAAAAACAAGACTTTCATATTTCAAATAGTCTATCTTCAAAATTGAGGGCCTTCCAGGCCCAGTGCTATAGCACTCCTTTCATACCTTCTAGACAGCCTAGGCTGATGGTATCTTTTTGCACATTGTTATAGGTCATTGAAGCAAGAAAATGTGGGGATCAAGAAGCATACAATAGAGCTGCATGTGTTTTAAAAGACGAGTATGGGCAGAATGGTGAAAGTGGCGGTGCCATCCAAAATGAAGTAGCTGAATCAGAAGCAGCTGATTATAAATCATCATCTTCATGCTATTATCCACAAAGCTTCCCAAGAGTGGATGAAGAATCGACTGAACAAACGTCTACTTTTGTTTATGAAACCAGCTTCTCAAGTGAAGTAGTATCTCCCTTTGATTTTCTTGGGGGCTCAATGACGATGATGAACAACTACTCAAGTTTTGATCCGCTGTCAAGCTTCGGATCCATTGATGACAGCTTATATATTGATGATTTCTATTCTGCGGCCGCTACTGATAAGTGATAAGTAATACTCAAAAGCTAGCAAGCTAGTACCAAAAGTACGTGACTGGGTGAGCGTACACATTTTGAAAATGGCCTGAAATAGAATGTTTGTCAACAAAAAATTAATTAATTAGAAATATGTGGTAATATGACAAAATGGGGGCGCCCATCTCTTGTAACAGCTTAACTAACAAGTTTGTTAGTTTTTTTTGGCTAATTTTTTGGGGGCAGAAGCAGGTTCCAATTTGTGTTTGCACTTTTGATACTTACCTGCTAGTATTTGTATATGTATATCTACATATGAATATAAGAAATAAGCTAAGATATCATGTATTCGCGCATGTACCTAGTTGAAGCTTGATATTTTAAATCTAAATGTGATTGAATCAAGACATTATATGTGCATATTATAAATGTGGACTTCTTAATATTCCGTATCAATGTCATCAAACTTCTTCTATTACATTTTCTTATTTATAGTCCACTTACTATGGGTGAACAAGTTCTGGTTCTAATCCAATTATGATTCCTCACTGGTCATTCCGGTCCACCAACATCTAAATCTTGGCCAAAATCGGTTATAGCTGGTTTGGTTAGAATCGACAGTTTTGGACCCGGTTATTGGTTCAGTTCTTTCCATTTCAAAACCAGATATTCAGGTTTTTTAATCAAAAAGATAAAAAAAATGAAGGAGCAGATTGATCCGAGTCCATTGGAAGAACCAGACCAGTTTGCAGGTAGTTCAAGTGAAGTTTTTTTATGTCTTCAAAGGCATCCTTTGAATCTTTGATTGTCAAAAATGACCGTGACAAGAAAATTAAATAAAAGGCCCTAAATTATACGTAGTAAAAGAAAATTATCATGATCCCAATGTAAAAGAAAATTTACATATTCAAGAACTACATTAAAATTTCTATAAAGTTTGAAAATCCCAATTAAATTTAATTAAGAATTGATATCTCAATTAAGTGAATAAAAGTCAATTTTACAACTCAAATTGGGATCAATGGAATATTATATATAGCACATGTAGTGAAAATAATAAACTTAAAAATAAAAAAGGAAGTATAAAATGTTATGAAAAACTTATTTTGATTGCTATAAAAAAAATCATTATATAAAAGAAATCCAAATTAATAAAAATTGATATAGCTAACTATATAGAAATAGAAAAGGTAACTTACAAATTAAGTATATACAGAGTACGGTAGTACAGTAAAGTAATAACAATAAGCCAATAATACCGTAGTTTACCAATAAATATATACGTATAGCAATACAAGTAATTTTTAATGATTTGACTCAAGGTATTTCTACTAACAATGTCCAACGTGTTACAAGTAGTTAACTTGGTTAGTTGGTAAGGCAATGGCTTCTATTTGTGTGAAACGTGAGTTTGATTCATGCATGTTGCAGGTTTTTTTATTATGCCCAAAAACAGCTAATAACTCTAATTATTATTGGGCCCTCCGTCAATTTGGGCCCTGTGCGGCCGCACTGCTTGCACAGCACCTGGGCCGGCCCTGATACAAAAACATAACAAGTAAATACAAAACTCAAGTACAAATAATCTAGTGTTTTGAGGACATGATGAAAACTTGTTCTTGTCTACTCTGGTGATTATAAGATAAGAAAAGCGTCATTCTACAATTGCTCTTGTCCATTCTAGTGGTTATATTAAGAAAATCCTTTGACTAACCATATCATCCTCTTAGATCAACAAACATCTTCTCACATTAACAACTTCAACGTTCATTTGGATCCCATACATTTAAAGGAAAAGCAAGAAAATATTAACTTCATCTCAATTAAAAATGAGTTTACTACAATAAAACTTTTTACAAAAATAGTATTAATAGTTGTTACAACTTACAACATAGTGTCATGCACTTAAATTTAAAAATAGAACATAAGTTATTATGATTAAGTTACTACAATAGTAACTAATCATATTTTTGTAAATCATCTTTACTCTAATCATAAATATGTAACTATATCATTAAAGTTTCTCATTTACCTTTGTTGAACAACTAATAAAGGTTCACATTTCCATTTTTAGGAAATAATTAAAAGTATACCCCCATAACATCATCATTCGTTAATTATCTTATTATATTATAAACTCATTTTAAAAGTTCTTAAATTATACTCAAATTACTGTATTTATTATAAACTCATTTTAATCAGTTCTTAAAGTGGAACAGACAGAGTACTTAGAAACATACTCCACAAAATATCTTTCAGAATGGATGTTTAGATTTCTTACAAATCCATTTTTATAAATGTTCTAAAAGAAATTATTATGAAAATGTATTATAATGTTTAAAATGTACTCCGTATTACGGAGTACTACTTTTGTTCCACCAACATTGAGTTTTGTGATTGTTAAAAAAAATAAGTTTATGAAAGTTTTGTGATGAAAGTTATGTGATTATTAAAAAAAATAAGTTTATGTGATTGATATTAAATTAATAAAATAAATATAATTTAAAATAATACTAGGTATAAACTTAGAGAATCTTAGAAAATACTGTGGTATAGAATATTAGAGAATACTAGTACTCCCTCTGTATTTAAAAGATCCATACATTAGATTATGTCACAAGATTTAAGGGAAAATGATAGGGATAATGAATAGTATAGAAAAAACAGTAGAGAAGGTGAAAAAGTAGAAAAAAGAAGACAAAAAGTAGAAAAAGTATGTATAATTGAATATTTTTAAAAGAAAAATTTATTATGTAAAAACTTTTAAATACATCCCAAAATATGACGCAAAATAGGGAGGAAGTATATTTTTAGGTAAATCCAATGAGAAAATAGCAATAACTTGCTGATTGGTATTGGGTTCTTGACAATGTCCGGGATTCAAATACGGAGTACTGCGTATGTCCTGATTGCGGGGGGAGAAGCATTTTAGAAACGAAGAAACACAGGAAAATTGCCGGGTTGAAGTGGTATTGGTATCATTCCAATATCAGTGTTAGGTTTCGAATTCTCGTGAAACCGAACAGAGGATTCTAATGATTCTTCAGATCTGGTGAAGCGATTTTTTCGCTTCAGCTTCGTTTTCCGGGTTGCACAATACAGGTCTTTCTTTGTTCAACCCGGCGCCTTAACTGATTTGTTAGGTGAATTTGCCCAGCTTCTTTCGTTAATGCATTCATTTCTGATTGAAAACCAATTTTGTAGGAGAATTCAGCGTTAAACGCGATGAATAGGAGCGTAGGACTAATGCTGATATTACATTATCTATTTAGGGGATTCGATCGACTATTTAGGCAGATCGCGTGTTGTGAATCCTTAGTTTTGTTTGTATCATCTTTGACAGGGACCTTATCCCACCTTCGGTTCATAATTGCTATAGTTTGCTATTGCCTGTTGTGATGAGTTGATGCATTCACATAGTGAATATTTCTTATTTCTGTCTTTGAAGACAGACAATCACCCTATATCTCCCGGTCTGAAATCCTATTTAGTCCTCCCTTTAACCCTAACCAGTTTTTAGGACATTGTCCAATCCATGTGTGAATCGGTTTGGCTTAATTATTTTCTAATGGATGCTCATGCTTCTATGAAGCCGTCCTTTCAACATCATTGATGGATGCATCAGATGGTCTGCCCAGTATTATTTTGCAAGATACACCGTCAGTAAATTGCTTAAGATTTCTCACTATACTGGAGATTCTGCTTGGCTTCAATCAACCTTATGGGGGAGTGGGTGATAGGAGCATTCATCAACCTTTTGGGTAGCATTATCATTAATTTTGGAACCAACCTCCTTAAATTGGGTCATGATGAGGTATATTCTACTTTCAGTTTTTTTTTCCCTTCCTGCAACTCTGATAATAAATTATATTACAAGTTTGTATTTAAATCATGAACTTTTTCCTTATCAAATTTTTGGCAAGTAAAAATTGTTTATAGTCACAAGACTCGCACATGAGACAAAATAGTGATGGCAAGCCAAGAGCTTCACTGCATATTTTCACTTTTGTGTCATCTTCATTGAGGGGCAATGGGATTAGTCATTGCCAAGTACTCAACTGTAATGACAGACTACATCTTGTAGAAGGAAAAGCAATCCATGATGGGCACTGAAGGAGCAAATGTGAAGGTTGCAATGAAACCCATAATATATTTCCAAACTTGGAGAGTTGGTAGGCATTTGGTCCATGGTGGTTTTATTTCTTGCAAGCGGTCCTTTTTCTTGATCGGATACAACCATATCTGACTATGAACTTACAGGAGCTCTTTTCTTTGCTGTTGGGAACTGTCTAAATTTCATTTCTTTTGGATATGCTGCTCAGGTATGTTGAGTATGTATTTGAATTAGTAGCTTTTTACTTTGGGTGAATAATAAGTCTCTCATTATGTGATGAGTTTCCATATTCCAGTCTTTCTTCTGGTTACTATGAGTTGTGATTGTGTAGTTATTATTTCTTTGTGCAGTCAATGCTAGCAGCTTTGGGATCTGTACAATTTGTTTCTAACATTGCATTTGCCTACTTTGTGTTGAACAAAACAGTGACAGTCAAGTGAGTCAGTTTAACCTCAAGTTTGATAGTTTCTGAATTCTGATATACTCCCTCCATCCCCATAACTTTGTCCCGTTTTACCTTTTACGTCCGTCCCATTAAGTTTGTCCCACACCATATTTGGTAATACTTGGGTGGCTACAATTTATTCTTATTTTATTCACATTTTACCAATTCAATATCAACCACACATTTCTACTTTTTCTTAAAAATCACACCACACCCCTTTGTTCCACCCCTTTGTCCCATACATAGGGGGGTGGAGATAGTAATATTCTAATGATTTTACAATTTTTTACTTAAGACTTAATGATACTTATTTAGACAATATTTGTTGACAAATGTTCTTTTATTGCAGAGTTATGATAGCTACCACTTTTATTGTTCTTGGAAACATCTTTCTTGTTGCTTTTGGTAACCATCAGTCACCTGGTACGTATTTAAATGAAGGCATTGTGCCATTGTTGTTTTTCCTTAACATATTTATACACATTTACTCAGGCTCACTTCTTAATCCTGATATCCTAATTAGACATAGGTTGAGCCTCTTAAGCTACTGACAAAAGGAAGTAAATTTCCTTGTTATTAGTTTCATTTTCTATGTTATTTTTCATAGAACAAACAACTAAAACTTCCTATTTACTATTTAGATATTAAGAAAGAAGTATCCGGGATTAATAGATTATGATAAACTTTAGGGAAAATTCCTGAAATAATTTTAAAGGCTAGAACGTCAGAGTGATGTTGAAATCTTTCCTCTAATCTATAGTATAGATCTACTTTATCCAAACCTACGAGCCTGACCTCCCGCTGCAGCTGACAAGCAGTTCATTAATGTATACTACCTATGTTCTTTATTTGTTGCAACAGTTTGTCTTTTCCACTGGTCACATACTCTACTTTGACTTCATTTTATTTATTAATGTATTAAAAAATTATATTATGAAAAATGCTGTCAATTTTTTTCAATGTAAAGTTATAAAATATGAATTTGTACTTTTTACTTATATCCATTATCTAATTTAACATATTAATGATTGAATTCATGTGCTTGGCAACCATGAGAGTCAAAGTGTTGCAATTAAATAAGAATGAAGAAGGAATTATTTTTCTTGTTCATTTTCAAAATATTAAATGACAACATAGAACACATAATTATGAAAAATACTGTCAAATTTTTTTCGACGTATATTTACAAAATATGAATTTGTAGTTTTTACTTATATCCATTATTCAATTTAACATATTAATGATTAAATTCATCTGTTTATGAAACTAGATCTTTTTCATTTGTTTAGGCATAAGAGATGAGCTTTGTTCAAATGTTGAGAATCATATGTAGTGTCCTGTGAATTATAGTGTAGATATCCTTAATCCAAACTAATGAACATGCCCTCCCACTGCAGTAGACCAGCAGTACATTAATGTATACTCTGTTTCTTGTTCATTTATAAAAAATATAGTGACAAACTGACAACAGACACCATTAATCATGTGCATTTGTGTTTAGATGTATTTTTATTTACATAGGGTCATCATATGTTTTCGGTCACTAGATCTTCCTCATCTGTTTTTAAAATTAGATTTTCTTCACTTGTTTACAGTTTATACACCAGAACAGTTGGCCGAGAAGTACAGCAATATTACATTTCTTCTGTATTGCCTGATTTTGGTGGTAGCAGTTGCTTTTCTTCACTCAATGTACAGGTAAGATGAGAATACCATTATACCACATAGCTTCATCTGCACAGTAATCTCTGGGTATCTAACAAACTATTACTTTCTCTTTCTCCCTTTCACTTTTCTTGATTAATATGCATTTAAATTTTGTCCAGGAGAGGGGAACTGCTGATCAGTGTCCCGGGAAACAACCTCAAGCCCTATTGGCAGATGTTGCTTCCTTTTTCATATGCAATTGTTTCAGGTGCTGTGGGGTCATGCTCGGTGCTATTCGCGAAATCTCTGTAAGTTACTACATGAACATTCCATGAACTCTTACATCCTTGTGGAGAAAAAAAAATTGAAAGTTTAAGGCTGTATATGATTGTTTATGCAGGTCAAACCTGCTTAGATTGTACATTTCCAGTGGTTATCCACTGCATAGCTGGTTGACATACTCCATGCTTCTATTATTTCTTAGCACAGCTGGATTTTGGGTACCTATTTATTTTATCCTCATTGAGTACTTGATTATGTAATTATTGTATGAATATGTTAACGTATCCCGTTAAAACTTTTGATTTTATTTGAATATTTGATCTATCAACAATTACAGATGGCTCGGCTGAATGAAGGACTTGCACTGTTTGATGCAATCCTTATTGTGCCCATGTTTCAGATTGCGTGGACCTTTTTTTCTATTTGTACAGGATTTGTGTACTTCCAGGAATATGAGGTCCATTCTCTCTTATGTCCGAATTATATTATATATATATATATATATATATATATATATATATTGGGTATATTACAAAAGCTGATATGCAAATTTGAAAATAGATTTCCATGCACTTGTTTTGAAAAAATCTAATATTGGTATCCCCAGTTCATGATTCATGATAGCCTCAGATTCATGTTGATACAATGATCTGATTTAGACATGGTTCATTGTGTTTTTAGCAAGAGAGTTTTTTCTATGGGAAAATGCTATAATAATACTAAAAGAGGGAGAAATTCCCACAATATGGCTCAAAATCATGTTTGACGGGAATATGACTTGTAAACACACTAGATGAGTAGGATTCATGTGATAATTCTACATTTTAGGTTTAGAAATTAATATAGGTGCGTAACTGTGAGTAGGATGGCCAAAAATCAAGCAAAAAACAGGAAAAAAACCACCAGGTCATACATTGGGAAATAGATGGATGATCTTTTAGTCATATGAGTGATAATTTTCTCTTTTTTCTATGCCGATTTCGGTCAAGGTGTTAGGCATGGTGTACTTATTGAATGCTAGTTAAGCAGGTATTTGATGCTCTACGAACAACAATGTTTTTGCTTGGAATGACTTCTGTATTCATAGGCATATCTTTGCTGGCACCAGATGACTCCAAAGGTTTGCCATTAAATGATTCTGGATAGAAGCATATTACATTTGAATTGAATTATGCCTAGTCATTAGAGAATCCTAACACAACTTCTTGCAGGAGGTGAAAGCAAGGATAGACCTCTAGTTTCTGATTTGGATCTGACCCATGATGTGGATAGGTATGTGGATTCTTATATTCTATATGGGGAATTCCTTTTATCCAACATTGCTTACAACTTTCAAATTGTCAAACCATTTTTGAGCTTTTTCTTTTGTAAATTCCACATTTTACCGCATTGGTATTCAAGAGGTTTTGTTTGTACCCTCTTTTGTAAGCACCTCATTAGATCTCATGATCAATGCTTAATATGTACTTTTCAGGCTTGTTGTGCTATCAGAGGATTCTCAAATTCAAGACCTGAGAACATTTACACGAGTAATGCTGACAAAAGCTGCAAGCCTGATTTTGAAAGCAAAGGTTCTGATAATTAAGTTAACCTTCTTCCTCCTGTGTTGCAATTGGTTGGCATGAATGCACTGTAAAAATATTTTTTGTTTGTGTAGGCTGCATGTTCATTACCATTAGGTTTGGGCAATAACTCACTTCATGGATCATCGGTTTTGGTGATGCCAATGGTATCGTCCAAAATAACTGGCTTTCGAGGAAGCGGGTTTGATCAGAACAAACTATTTTCCATTAGAGGTCAAGGTTGGAACAGAATATCTTTGGATGAGGATAGTGAGACAAATTTGGAGGCAGAAGCAATGCTTCCCAAGGGTGTTGTGGGAAGCAGTAGCTTGCTTACATGATACTTGTGAACAAAATGTAAGAGCGACACTGGTTACATTCATACCGTTCTTCAAGGATTTGTAGGTCTTCATGTTCTTGTTTGTTTTATTTTTTATTCGTGCCTTGTAGTTGCGGGTGCTAATGGTCTGTAATATTCATGGCCACCCCAAGTTTGGTATATATCTTTCTTTTTTCATGTGTAAATTTTGTAGTGTAAAAAAATATAGGAAAATTTGACACCAATAATCCGACCTTTACCCGATCTTCCCAAAACGGTCCGAATTATTAATAATCCGAGAAAAAGCCAACCTTTGTATTCTCTCTTCCATAAACGGTCCCAGCGTATTTTTTACCGGTTCTATACCGGTTAAGGTTTTAAATAATGTCCTCATCTAACTTGTCCTTCCTTCCCATTTCCTCACACCTGCGACGACCTTGTCTAACATTCTTCCTCATTTCAAATTCTTGTTCACCAAATCAATCAATCAATATCCGCCCAAGACATCCATTCAGATGGTGGTGAGTTTTAGTTTGTGAGACGAGCTCTTTCAACGGCCTTGGAGACAAGGATCCATCCGCTCCAGCACAGCAACGCAGTGGCGTTGTCTCCACCTCCAATTCCGTCCGGCGAGGTGGCAACGGCCATCGATGGAGGCAGGTCAAGAGACATCGACGGTCGAGGGTCTCCTTCTCCCCAATGATGTACGCCGTAGGTGTATATTCCACATAGAAGCTACGCTTGAGATGATGCTGCAAGTATAAAATTACAAATAGAGTATGCAATATATTACACTTTTATCATTCAATGTGTATGATGGAATGTTGTATGTACAGATTGCCACCTTATCTTAAAAATAACAACACTTTTATCATTCGCCAGCTCTATTCTTACCCATACTGCAACCTTATCTTAAAACAGAAACCCTCAAATTCAAGCAAAAATAGTTTTATGGTTTTTCTTTACAGAGTTAAAAGCAGCTATGTTAATTAGGGAATGCTATGTTAAAAGCAGCCTGGGGGACAAGTTCATGACTTTTGGTGCACATGATTAATTATGTAGTTCATCTTATTACTTGATTGGTATAACGAAGTGTGTTTTGTCAAAATGAAATTTTGGATTGGAAAGTTAAATTTGAGGATTTTGTTTCTGTGTCAGGATGAAGGTTGCAATTTCTTCAAGTGGGAAGATGGAATTGAGGCAAACCCATCTCTTGAAGATGAAGAAGTTAACATAGTTCAGAAGCCACAAATCCGAATTGAGCTAAAATTTCAGAATAGGTAGCTCGAAGAAAAGTTGAAGAAGTTGCAAGTGAAAAATAAAAATTTGAAAGAAGAAGTGAAACTGATGAAAATTGAAGTTGACGAAATGCGGATTGAATACTTCAAGTGTTTAGGAAATGAGAAGAAATACTGCATCAGTCTAATGTTGTCATGGCTTTTTTGCGTTGTATATATGTTCTTCAAATGATGTTGTGGTTGGTTTAGTATCCTCTAGTATGTATAATATATTGGTCTAGACTTATCAACATGTGTTTGAGTATTGATGTAGAGTTATGAATGTATGTTTTTGAATATTGGTTAATATATTGGTGTTCCCAAATTTGAAGTGCATACTAGTGCTTATAGTTTATGCTCTATTAGATTCCCTCCCATAATAAATTTTTGATAAACAAAAGTTAAAAGGAGTGAAGGTTGAAATTTGAATGCTAAAAGGACCCCTCGTATTATTAACTTCATTGTGTTAGAATTTTGTCACCCACTCTCATTAATGCTATTATCTAGATGATCCAGATACGGAGTAATGAGATATATGGCATTTGTATTTACACAAGGACTTGATGCATTAAACCATTTAGGATTTATCCCATTAGATCAAGTTGTGTGATGTTTTTTTCTGTCAGCTTATGAGCAGAAGCAACAAAAATATGGTAGGCCATTGCTTTTGATCCTTTACATTCCAATGCACAGCTGATAACAGATTTTTGGGACTTTTATATATTGCTATAAAGTGAAAACAGTTGCTGGTGCATATTGCTTGTATATTGCTGCTATAAAGTGGGACTTTTATACCAGCAAGTGAACTGATATGCTGCTGCATATTATTAGTATACAGCTTGTTGGTGCATATTATTACTTGTATACATGGTGCCTAGTTAATACATCAAATACAATTATTAAAGACTTAAACAAAGACAACAATATAGATTTATAACAACAAGTGGTAAATACATAAACTGGCCAAAAATTACAACCACACTTGAGTGTTAAACCACAACCAAAATAAGCCAAAATGCATGATGGAGACTTAGTTAACAAACTGAAATTGATGCCTAGACCGGAAGTTTGACTTAGTTAACATATGTTGGACCCCGAAGTTGACCCTTCTGCCAAATATTTTGGTCCTCTTACTGGCCTGGAACCTAAAAAAGAAAATGACAACATATAAGAAACACAGATCACTCATTCACAACCAAACATCAGTATAATTATACATTACATGTGTGTGGCATTTCATCAAACACTTAATACACACTAAATTAATAGGAGCTTTACTGTTGTATACAAAAGTCAATACTAATGGACATTACAAGATAACATGTTCATCAACGTAAATGATTAAGAAAGTAGCTTAACTTTCACATTTTTTAAACGCATAAAATATACACACTGTACAGCGAGCCAAAAACGATTAAGAAGCTATGAAGAAGTGATTTTTGAAAGTTTGGATTCGAAAATCTACCTATTATCAACGTATGCAGTGGCTGCACCAGTGGCTCTACCTATTATTCTCTGCCCATCTTCCCGTACTGAAGCTTTCAAAATTTCTTATTACTCCATAGTCCATAGCCGTCGAAGACTCGAAGGTATTCCAGTTTGGTTGTGGGTTGGCGATAGAAGGGGTTTACTCTTTTAGCCGGTAAGAAGTCATCGGGACTGTTTAGGGAAGAGAGAATACAAAGGTTGGCTTTTTCTTGGATTATTAATAATTGGGACCGTTTTGGGAAGATCGGGGTCGGATTATTAGTGTCAAATTTTCCAAAAATATACGTAGTATGATTTTTTTTGGCCCACTTTAAATTCAAAATTTTGAAGTCATGGTTACGCACCTATGATATTAGTTCCTTGATATTATAGTGGTGGTTTGACGTCTAATTCTTCTAAGAGTGTTGGTATTTGGTAACATTGAAATTTCAAAAGCTTCTGCTGCTTTGACTTTGGCAAGATGAATTTGGTGCCTGGCAAAGTATACTGTACTTGGAAGCTGTTGAAGAGTGGTGGCTGCTCATAGTCGGTGGTGATGTTAACCGTTGATGTTAACAGATAATAGTCTTGATACCAATGATATGGCTTATGGTTTTGACAGTACTCAGAGAAATTTCAGAAGGCTAACTAGTACATATTTGGTATTGAAATAAATTTCAGAAGTATTTATTAAATTTTACTTTTTCTTATGGTTGAATAGTTCAATTTATTTGTCTTATAAACGATGACAAATGTAAATATGTGATGTCTAACTTATAAATCAGTCTTAAAATAAAACTTATTAATCACATCATTGCACTGAATTGTTCTGTCTAACTCATAAATGATAAATCAAATGATATGATATATAAATGCTTACTTTTACTTGATAAACAAAAAATATAGACATAATTTACCAGAAGTTTGATCGCCCATGCTAAGTGCCCCCACACTCCAATCCGATAAAACGATGAATGACTAAATCACGGCATGATCTCAAACAGTTTTTGAATTTGTCCACATTGGATGAAACTCTCATATTAGCACTGTCAGGTATCGAATCTGAGATCTTAACTTGTCTTACTTATTGTTGACTTTCCCGTGTGCGAGTAATAAATTCCTATTCCTAAAGAGAACACTAAAACACAATTATTGTAGTGTGCTTTACCTTTGTCTTAATATTACTAATCTAATGGCTAAAATGGATATGCACTTCTAATGGCTGCAATATTACTAATCAAATGACTAAAAAATACGGAGTATAATTTATTCACAAGGGATTTAATAGCATATATAGAGAAATGTCCACGTTTAAGAAACTACTCTAACCACGTATTCATTACTTAAAATGGAAATGACAATTTTTTTGGAACAATAAAAAAAGGAAATCTAACCAAGTTTTATGGGACGAATGGAGTATAATCACATGCTTGGCAGGGAGATCTGGATTGCAATACCACTACAATATTAGAGTCAATTCACAAACACTGACAAATATTTAACTAATTAAAATGAAGGCAATGGACTAAAATGTGCCTTTTATCTTTGTTGCATAACTTTGCATTACTATGTTCAAGTTTACATATAACTTAAAGGTGAGTAATCTTCCGGTCAGGTATACCTGACCGGAGCCGCCGTCCGGCCTCCTCCTTTTGGGGCCTTCCCGGTGGTATTTTTTGCTCAAATTTTTTGTGTATGTTCCTCATCAAGTCTAGTTCATTCATACCAAATTTCATCAAAAAAATCAATCGGGAAGGTCGTCAAATGATTTTTGCAAGTTAACTGGTCCGGAATATGTATTTTCCGGACCAGTTAACTTGCAAAAATCATTTGACGACCTTCCCGATTGAATTTTTTGCTTAAATTTGGTATGGATGAACTAGACTTGATGAGGAACATACACAAAAAATTTGAGCAAAAAATACTACCGGGAAGGCCCCCAAAAGGAGGAGGCCGGACGGCGTTTCCTGTCAGGTATACCTGACAGGAACATTTGTGACTTAAAGGTATGTATAAAGGAGATAAATACTCCCTCCGTCCCACTAACAATGGAGGATTGGCTTGCAAATCTATAAAAAGTGATTTAAATGATTGATATTGAATTGATAAAGTAAAAATAGTGCTGGACTCGGGCCGGGCGGCCCGACCCGGAACCGGCCCGGCCCGGTTACTGTTTGGCCCGGCCCTGAGCCCGGTGGGTCCGTCGGTTCGGTTTGGTCCGGCCCGGGTGATGGGCGGTCCGGGCTCGGGCCCTGCTTTAGGTGAACCGGCCCGGCTGGTTCGGGCCCGGTCCGAGCCGGATTTTAATTTTTTTTGAAATTTTTTTAAGTTTTGGATTGGATTAGGTATTTTGGGCCATTTGAGGTGGTTTGGGGTTGAGGGGAGGGATAGGGGGTTAAATAGGAGAACCAAAATAAAAAAATAGACCGGTTTGGCCCTGCCCGGCCCAGCCCGGTTTGGCCCGGAACCGGCCACCGGCGGTTCGGGCTCAGGCCCCAGTTTTCTGGCCCGAGGCCTGGCCGGGCCCGAGTCCAGCACTAAGTAAAAATGATTTAGAGCCACACAAATTATTGTCTCATACCAAATAAGGTATGAGACAATATTAGTGGGACGGATCGAAATGATAAAATATGACAATCTTAGCGGGACGGAGATAGTACTATATATATATACCATACAGAATAATTAAATTATTTTGTATAACATACATAGAGAACTCTTCTTGCCAGACCGGCCTGACATGATGAATTTTTTTGAGCATGTTCTTCATCAAGTCTAGTTTATCCATACCAAATTTCAGCTAAAAATTCAATCGGGAAGGCATTCAAATCATTTTTTGAAGTTGACTGCGTTTTTACATGTATATTTTGACGCAGTCAACTTCAAAAAATGATTTAAATGCCTTTCCGATCGAATTTTGAGCTGAAATTTGGTATGGAAAAACTAGACTTGATGAGGAACATGCTCAAAAAATTTCATCAAAAAACTCCACCGGGAAAGTTGCCAAAAGGACTTGGCCGGACGGCTCTCCCGGTCAAGCCGGCCTGACATGATGATTTCTCACCATACATAACAATTAAATGGAACTTTATAGTCATTCTAAATCGTTTAAATATTTCAAATATGGCCAAACACTAAACAAAACTATGTTTGATCATTTTAGACTAGTTTAAGGCTAGGTTTCAACAGGGCTTAATAGCAAAAAATATTTTAGAGGCTGCCCTGCCTCTCCCACCGGATTCCGGATACGCCTCTGATTCCAACTCTCCCAATTTAGATATCATGGATTCATGGTGATTCATGTTTACTCATCTTTATATACACATTTAACGCACGTCTAAAAAACTTATAAACTAAAAAAGTAAGTTCAAATTAAGAAATGCCAATAGTACAAAACATAAAAACTACTCCGTATATTCCAAATCCAAAGAAACTTTTAGTGAGCACCTCAAACGGGCAGAGGCAACATGCTCTTCTGTTGCATTACATGTTCACATTAAAACACTAAGAAACCTAACATTAAGATTTCTGAGAAGTTGGCATTGCAAGAGACACTGCAGAGCTACCCGGCATATCCTTCCACTGTTGGGTTATAGTCTTGATTTGTGTGTAAAAGTTCACCCCAGCCTTGCCTATATGTAAATAAATGATAAAGTTGGAAAACATACAGTGAAGAGAAATATACAAATAATTGTAAAAATAGAGAAATATACAAATAATTGTAAAAATAGTCTACAAACACAGACGTGTAATAAATCATCTAGCTAGAGACAATCGTAATATTGAGAGCCCGTTTGGTAACCATGTTTTCGGCTTATCAGGCTTATCAACCAATTGTTTCACCAAACAAGCAACTTTTAATTTTACACGCTGAGTTGTGTAATAATAAGAAAAAGTAAGGTTGGAGTTACTTTTCTGACTGTTTTGGCTGAAGTTACTGTATGTAGATGATCATTTTAGCTATTTTTTCATGTATTTTTTTTATTTTATTAATAATATTTTAAAATAAAATTTTTTTCATAAATCAGCAGTTTCAGCCAATACAACCAGAACTTCATAAATTTCAGCAGAATCAGCTTATTCAGCCGATTTCCGTACCAAACGGGCCCTTAGTTAACATTACAAAGCATTTCATTACCATAAAAATTGAGATCTCCTGCAAAAGAAGCCTTGGAGCCGGTGAATGAGAAGAAGGGCAAAGGAACGGGAATGGGAACATTGATGCCAACCTGAAGCGGACAATGAGTGTGTTTCAAATGGATCATAACATTAGAGGTAAACAAAGTAAACATGGGGTGCATTAGTGGTGCACATGCCAATTGCCCTACATGTTAACCATAATCATTAAGGCATTGTTTATGGAATAAAAAATGAAGGCTTTTTTAGTGGGATGCAGCAGAAATGCATCAAGAACCTTGTATTTTTAGTTTCTTAACCCTTGACTTAAGGGCTTTGGTTAGCATGACCAGTAAATTTAGAGTTTAGAAAAATATCTTATTTTTTATCAGGTGTGTTTGTATCCAGAAATGGTAAGAGTAGAGAAAAAATGCTAAAGAAAGTTTTTTTCTCATGCTTCATTTTACCTTGAAAAATGCAAAGGAAAACGAGATACAATTGTTTTTTCCCTTAATTATAAATATAATAGATTTTTGGAATAATGACTGCAATATGTGCTACACGTTACTTTTGGACAAATAAATGACCTCTTAAATCTTGAAAGACCAAAACACCCCCTGATAAAATTAAACCTAATTCCCCAAGGCTGCCTAAAGGGTCGGTCATCTTAGCCTCTTCTCTTCTTTCCGCACAAGACCCACACCAGCCCGCAGAATCCCGCCGCCCCCATCCGTCAGATGTAGCCCGCCGAATCCTGCCGGAAGTAGACCTCATCCGTAGCCACATGTGTGTTCTTCTTCCTACTCCATTTTCTCCTTTACGCAAACTAATAGCTTATGGAAAAACGGCAGCGACGGAGAGTAAATGACGATGGGATTCAGATTTTTTATTAGATTTTGGTGGTGAACAGTGGTTGTTTAAGATGGTAGTGACTCAAGTTCTGATCGAAGCTAGGGTTCGGGGTCTTAGCGAAGCGGGTTGGGTTTTGGATGGGCTACTGTGCGGTATATGGCTGGTTGCGGTGACGGTGGAAGGGGAACGGCAGAGAAGGGTTGTAGTCGAAGGGCACTGACAGGGGATCAGGTGGGGGAGTGACGGGGACTGCAGATGTGGTGGTCAAGAGCAGGGGCTGGGACAGTAGGGATGGATAAGGGTTGGAGCAGTAGGCTGGGCAGGGGTACGTAGGGGCAGTGGTGGTCATCGGAGATGGCAGATTGTGGGGTCAAATGGATAGGTCGCCGGAGAGAATAGGTCACTGAGTTGAGTGTCATTGGGGCGAGGTAACTATCAATGTATTGATGAGGTAATTGTCACCGTGATCATTGTGGCGGGGGTGGCCGGCGGTGGCCAGCGGATGTCACTGTGGCTGTGGTCACTGTGCTAGCGTTGGTTGGCAGGTGTCACTGTGGCGGTGGTCAATGTGTTGGCAGTGGTCGGTGGGTGTCACTGTGGCGGAGGTGACCGGCGGTGGTCACTATGGTGGAGCCGTGAAGGTCATTGAGGCGGTGGTCACCGAGGCGGCGTTGGCCGGAGGGTGTCACTGTGGCGGATAAGGTCACTGTCAGATAAAGTCTAGTGACAAGGGATAATTTAGTAAGTTAAATGACCTTTAGTCACATTTTTTGGAAATTAAAGAAAAAGGTCACGTTTTTGTCCATACTTAATTTTTTAGTAATATTTATGACATAACCCCTAGATTTTTTAGCCTCTACAGCACACACTAAACTACAATACAAGTAAATAAATTAATAAAAATGAGTTTGAACATTTATCTAAAACAAATCAATGAGTTAGATAAATAGATTACACGGAATTTCTATTATTTCCCCCCTACTTCCCTTTCCTACCGATTTTACAACATATTTCCTTACATTTCCCAGGTTCCAAACAGACCCCAAATCTTACCCCCCACTCCTACAACTGACTTTCTAGGAAGGTCAACCACTTTCAATAGAAAGTAGTATGCTATTTGATTGTGCCAAGGAAGGAGTCAAACTCCCTCTTTCTACATACAATAGAAATCAAACATGCCATTATGGATTAGCTGCAGAGATGCCAAAGAATCCTATTTCTTACCTGCCCTGCCTCAATCTCAGTTTGAAATTTTCTTGCAGCTACCCCAGACTTAGTGAAAATGGAAGCACCGTTTCCATATCTGAGAAGGCAAAGGATTGCATTATTACAGATTATTAATAGTATTTTGAATAAATGAATGTAGAAAGATTGGTCCTCTAAAGGAAGGATATAGAATAAATACTTATTTTTATTGACAATTCTTATGGCTTCTTCTAAACTATCAGCCTGCACATCCCAACAAAAAAGAAAGTTGTCATTCACTGTGATGTTTTCTTATAGCAACTTGCTGTAGGGTAGAGGAAGTTAATGAGGCACATAATCTGCAAACAAACCTGCATACAAAGGAGAACAGGGCCAAAAATCTCCTCCTGTACAAGAAAAACATGCCAAACTTTATATTTATCAGATAAGCTTATATATGATCCCTTCCCAAAGGTATGCCAGCACAACTTTCACAAATTGAATGATATTTATAATTTTTATTTATTCAATTTTTAACTAAATTTATTTTATGTAACATGATCGTAAGTTTATGACTCTGCCTCTGAAAAATTATTCTAACATTGGGAGGGAGGAAGTAAGAACTTCCCACTTTTAATAGACAGGAGGAGAAGGGCAGTATACCTTATAACATTCCATATCAGCAGTAACATCTGATAAGATGGTGGGACCAATAAAATTACCTTTTTCATATCCAGGTACCTATATCCAACAAAAAAAGGATATGAAGATTCATATGATATTGACAACTTTGATAAGGTACAGCTCAGTAAATAAATAATACATCGCCCCAAAAGATATCTTGTATGACACATCTACAGCTAAATTTTTGCATCGTACAAGTGTACAACCATCATAGATCATGAGATATACTTTTTTATATATTTGTTGGCTAAATTAAATTTAATCATTTTTAATTGTCAATTGGCTCGTTTTTATTGACAAATTACATGAAAAATTAGGTTTGATCATTCAAACTGGACTCTTTTTTAGGGCAAATAAGTATTTGAATCATAAGTATTTTCTTGGGATGGATGGAGTAATTAATAGCAAGTGGTAACCTATGAAGCACGGAAACTCTCGAGAAAGAGTGTGTTTCTATTTCGGGAACTCAACACAAACTCTCCAAACAGCCGTTTTAATATTAAAAGATGGTGTTTCTCATTTGAATTTTTCTCACGATTCCATGCAACATAAATGGTAACTAAATGCAACTCGATCATTGGTGGATTGACTGAATATGAAAGTATACCGTGATATTTCTTCCATCCAGCAGCAATTTACCCCCACTATCTACACTGCTTTGAATCAACTTGCATATTCGATCCTTTGCCTATTGTTACAGGATGATCATTCGTGCATGAAATATGCATCAGTAGAGTGACTTTGGTTCAACGAGGTACCATATTGGTTTACCCACCTGTCGACTGATTACAGGTCCAAGATCAGCATCAGGTTCTGTTCCAGCACTTACTTTTAGTGTCTGTGCTCGCTCTACCAATCTCTCAATCCTATAAGTATGATTGGCAATCCCTTTATCCTAAAAAATGACAAAACTTGCCGAAAATAAAGATGCATGTGACTAGAAGGTAAATACCATGATTTTGACTCTCCAACAAACACCACTGTACTGAGTGCCATGCATCTCTGTCCAGCAGCACCAAAACCCGCCGCTACTAAAGCATTTAATGTGAAATCAATGTTTGCATCAGGCATTACAATGCCGTGATTCTTTGCTCCCATGTTGGACTGAATGTGTTTTAAAGGTAGTTAGTCCAAGTGTGTTCTAGCCTAGTTAGCACTCAATTATATTTCATAGCATATAAGATGCGAGAGGAGTCACTTAATTCCCTTTTTACTTACCTGAACACGTTTTCCAGTAGCTGATGCCCTGGCATAAATATGCATACCGGCCTGGAAGATAAAGAACATGAAAGGATTGGTCAGTTTCAGACATCCATTTATATGACAATCCTAGGAGGAAATCATGTGTTAAGAAATAAATACTTCATCCAAAATTAGTTCTTAGTTTAGCCACATGAAGACCGCCAAAAGATAATTGTAATTTTAGGAAACCAAAGCATGTTTTGTACAAACCTTCTGAATTTGCCCATATTAACTCTTCCTATCTTAAGGACTTGTTTGGTTCGGGACTTTGGAGGGAAGTGGAGGGGGTAAATTTTTATCTTACCAATTTATCTTTAAATAAACTATGCAATTAGTTAATCATCTAAATGTAGAAAAAATTATATGTATAACCCTCCCCTTCCTTTCCCTTCAAAATCCTTGAACCAAGCAAACCCTAAATGCTTTAGTGCACTAAAAAGAAATAAATGCATTTAATGGTAACTTAAATAAGGACAAGGTTCCTTAATGTGAATGCAAAATGAGCAACTCCATAATTGCAGAGAGAGCTGAGTTGATGTCAGTAGAGATGAGATTAACTTTCTACTCTAATGGAATAATAGCATGTTCTGTTAATAGTGATTGATGGATTTATTATTATGTTCTTCGGAAAGATCCCTACCCAAAGTTCAGCTTGTACTAATTGCAGAAATAAAAAGAAAACACTAAGGATGTTTTTAATTGGATTGAAAATCTTGGCTAAATCTGGTCGGGTAAATGTTTGGCATAGTTGTCATGGTGCATGGCAATCGCCATGGCTCAAAGGCATTTTTCATGGCGCATGACGATGTCGCATATACGAAAGACGCATATGGCGCATATGGTGACGACCACTTTTTCATGGTGATGGCGCATATGGTGACGGCCACTTTTTCATGGTGATGGCGCATATGGCGCTATGGTGACGACCACTTTTTCATGGCGATGGCGCATATGGCGTGTGCCATATCTCGCCATTGACTACTATGATGTTTGGTATATATGTTTAAATCTGGTCTACTATGTCCATGTCTGATTAGAATCTGGTTTGGAAATGAAACCAGTCCAATTAAAAACTTCCTAATTTCCTGCATGATATAATTGAATACTGGAACCGTGGAAGGCTTTACTCACTGTATTTGAACCAACAAATGATATTGCTTTGATATCTTCATCATCACATATAGCATTAACAATGTCCTGCAAGGTAGTTCATGGTTGCATCATATGACTATCCACATAAAATACAACAAATTATACTCCCTCCATCCGTAAATTCCTTGTTTTCCTTGTTGGGTTTCCCCAAAATAACTACAGATTGGTTATTGGAGTAGAAAAAGTAAAATGATATGAACCAATTTTACCAAATAAAGGGGTTGAAAATAAAAGATTGGTTCATATCATTTTACCTTTTATGTTACAATCTCCACCACATCTTTTATTTTCAACCACTTTATTAATAAAGGCAATTAATTCATGACGGAGAGACTAATAAACACTTGTTTATAACAGAGTATACATGAGTTCCATGAACAATATTTAAAACTCCATCAGGCAACCCAGCCTCCATTGCCAACTCAGCCAGCATCATTGAAGCCCCTGGAAGGAAAAAAAGAACTGAAGTCAAGAAATAGTACTAAATCAATCAAACAATGGAAAACCACATACACTGATGTTCTAAGACAATATAGTGACCTGGATCTTTCTCTGATGGTTTTAGAACGAAGGTGTTCCCACTTGTAACTGCAATAGGAAACATCTGCAAAGTTTGATGAGTCAAAACAGGTGGTGGTGACTTGATAAAAACATACTAATAAATACTCCGTCCATCCTATTTGTCTTCATCCACCAAAATGAATGTTCCTTTTTATATGAAGTTTTATGAAATCTAAGCACAGTCTGTTCTTCACCTTCCAAAATTTACCCTTTTATCCTTCTTTGAAAAAGAAAAGTTAAAATGATACTACCTCCATCCCCTAACATTGGTAGAAGAGGAGGTGGTTTGGTAAGCCGGCTACCAAACAAAGTGAATTTACGTGGTTGATATTGAATTGATAAAGTGAGGATAAAGTAAGGACGATTTACACCCACACAAACATTACCAAGTTTGGTATGGGACAATCTTAGTGGGGCAGACCAAAAGGGGAGATGGGACAATCTTAGCGGGACGGAGGGAGTAGTATGTAAATACTAAATATTAAATTATGGCATTTTAAAGTTTTAAAAAAAATGTATTGATTAGTTTACCACTCTAATGCATTTTCTTAATAAGTGTGGTTTTGTTAATATAGACGGATAGATATGAAAGGAGGGAGTGGAACAAAAGAAAAAAGCAAACTTCATTAATTATAAGGCTCAAGCTAAGCACCAAAATAAGATTCCAATTCCCAACTGAGTAGTTGCATAGCCCACAAGATCAACCCAAATACAACCATGATTAGTAGTTGCCACTTGGCAATTCCAATGAGTTACTTACCCATAAGGGGATCATTGCTGGGAAGTTGAATGGACAAATCCCAGCACAAACACCCAAAGGCTCTCGTATGCTATAAGTATCCACACCATTTGACACGTTACACACATATTCTCCCATCTGTAAGGATGCCATACCACATGCATGTTCCACGACCTCTTTAAAATGGAAAGAAAGGAAAGTTCAAAGCTGCAACTAGTGACACATATGATATATCCCTCAAATGATGTAAAAAATAAATACAGCTAACCTAATCCACGGAATACATCGCCTTGTGCATCCTTCAATGTCTTCCCCTGTTCAGTTGTAATGTTCAGGGCTAACTTGTCCTGGATAAAACATTATGGTATCTCCAATCATCATAGATCATAAAGATAAGAAAAAAAATTAGAAATTTAATACTTTAATGAAAATACTAACCATGTTTTTTCGTATAAGGTCTTGGTACTTTAACATGACACGCTGCCTTGTTGTTATTGGTGTGTTCTTCCACGACAGAAATGCCTCTTTTGCTGCAGATACTGCAGATTTGAACTCCTCATTTGTAGTTAGCGGTATCTGTGAGACCACTTCTTGTGTAGCCTATTCCATACCATCAATAAAAATTACTGCTTGAAAATAGATAAGATCCAAAAGCTACTACAACTTGTCGTACTTACTGGGTTTATAACATCAATTGAATCAGATGACTTTGAATCTACAAAGCTGCCGCCAATCAAATTGCGAATTCTCTGATGAAGAAGACGAAAATACACGTTTAAGCTCCAATCATCATAGATCATAAAGCTTAGAAAAAAAAAATTAGAACTTTAATATGTTAATGAAAACACTAGTCACTAATCATGTTTTTTTGTATAAGGTCTCGGTACTTTAACATGACACACTGCCTTGATGTTAGTGTGCGACAGAAATGCCTCTTTGCGACTTTGAACTCCCCTTTTGCAGATTTGAACTCGTCATTTGTAGTTAGTGGCATCTGTGAGGCCACTTCTTGTTTAGCCTATTCCATACCATACCATTAATAAAAATTATTGCTTAGAAATAGACAAGGCCCAAAAGTTACTTCCACTTGTCGTGCTTACTGGGTTTATAACATAAATTGAATCAGATGACTTTGAATCTACAAAGCTGCCACCAATCAAATTGGTCATTCACGCTACGACACTCTCTAAGGCTATGGTTTCTCCTATGTGGCATCATAAAGATTATTTTGTACGAATCTAAAGATATTTCAGAAAAAAACTTGGGAAGGATTAAGTTTACATCTCCTTGAATAGAATGTATTTAACAAAATGAACAAAGGGTGGGTGAAATGCTATATCATCACCTAGTATTTCAGAATCAGCAGATTTAGTCAGCCTTAACACTCCTTCCAAAACCCTCCATCCAATCTTGTGGGATAGGATGGCTGATTGTTGTTTTATAAGTTTATCTCTATTTGCTAGTCCTCCACTAGACATGAACTACTCGGTATAACTTTAGTAAATCAAGTAATTATATAATAAAAAAGGAAACCATGACCACTTCATTTTTAGATTCCAACAATCTATATAATGTTAGATTGTAACAAGAATTAATAAAATAGATATAATGCATCCCCTCCCACCCTCTTTAAAATCACACAACCAAACAAAGACTACGAGAAAAGGTTGGGGATACAAGCTGACCAGCGTAGTGCGATGCTTCCACAATGGCTTAGTAGTTGTGGAGAGATGAGAATTGGCAAGACAATAAATTTGAGAACTCGATGACCTTGTCTTTCTAGCTGCAGAAGTACTAACCCATATGAAATTGAGGATGTTTAGTTCACCTCAGAAGAAACCTATCAATACCATTCTCCACTTGGAAGGCGCATCAAACTTAAAACATATTGTGAACTATGAAGCAATAGAAAAGATGAAAAGATGTTTCATCATTAACACCGGCACTGGTGATTGGAATTGAGATAAATGTCTCGGGCTTACGTCTCTGTACTCAACTCTCACTTGAGTGTTGATATAAAGACCATCTTCTAGCCGCGCGCAAATGGGTTCAATTTAACCTGAATTTTTTAATATCCAAGTGAAATAATATGAATCCTAATACGAATTACGCCATTACGGAGTATTCTATTTTAATATTTTTGGATTTATCTCAATTTTTCGGTGATTTGAGTTTTTCTCAATTTGTTTTAGGAATAAGGACACAAATTTTATCTCAATTTCATCTCGGTCCCATTACTTATCGTCTCTGGAGCCGATATCGATCAATCAACCTTATTGGTTGATACCAGGGCAACATCCATACACTTGATCTGCTGCAGACGATGAACCTGGCAACATCCATACACTCCATATTCCGGCGGCGGCGACAGGGTCAGTCAACCTCTGAAGCCTTTGTTGACACTGCCGCCTGATTCTTCATCTCCTACATTCTTGGTTGTCTGCAGAAAGATCCCTGATGAAGTTCCGGATCCGGAACACCATAAATGGTGGGTGATGGCCCTACATTTGGAGATGCGAGATGATGAACATTCCGCCCGGCGAGAGACGGCTAGATGACGACAGCGAAACGAGCGAGGCATTGATCAAATTCGTTGATGTTTTAGGGTTCAAAGATTTGCGATTATGACGGTCGTGGAAGCTATGGTGACGAGCGGCGGCGAACTGGAGGCTAGAATTATGAGCAGTTGTGCGGTTGGGAGCTAGGGTTGGAAGCTGGGGCTGAGGGGGTAAGAATGGAGCTGGGGCAGGCTGGCGGGACAAAGCAGGGGGTTGGGGTGGGCTAGGGTAGACTTGTGGGTCAAGGGCAGAGGACTGAGGGCATTGAGGCTGGCGACGCAGAGATGGGGCGTTGGGGTGGGCTGGCGGTGTCACTTTGTAGGTGTCATTATGTCACTGTAATCAAAGTGAGTGTGTCACCGGCAGGACAAAAGGGTGCATGAACAGGGGTTGGGGCGGGGGGGGGGGGGGTTTCGGTACTGGGGCGTTGGGATGTGGAGCGAGTAGGCGATGTAGGGTGATGAGAGGTGGCCGGAGTAATTGTGGAGGTCACTATGGAGGTGTCATTGCTGAAGTCGGCGGTGGGGGCAGTAGTGAAATGAAAATTGGACAGTGACATGAATATTTGAAAGTGACATAATATTTTTTCCAAATATATAACCATTTTAGTCTCATTTTTGTCCAAATGTAAATGTGATTACATTTTTGGAAATTAGCTTTAATTAAGTAATAATCAGAGAAAAGCCCCTTTGTTTTATCTAAATCTTACTAGTATTATATAGGCTACGTTTGGCACAACTAGCTAAAAATATTTTTTTTATGAAAATTTTAATAACTGTTGGCGTTTAATGACTGGAAAGATCTTAAAAGGAAAATGTTATAGTTGTTTGATAAAAGCTGACTGTTTGATTTATATCGCAAATTTTTATGAATTTGTTCAACGGCGTCGCTTGCCTCGTCGTCATCATCTAGTTGTCGCTAGCCGGACGGAATGTTGATCATCTCGTCATCGCCAAATGTAGGGCTATCGCACACCATAAATGTTTGTTAGGGATCTTTCTGTGTTCAATAAAGAGTGAAGCGGCAGAGTCAGCGAAGGTTTCAGATGTTGAGTAATCCAGTCGCCGCCGCCGGACTCTAGATTGTATGAATGTCGCCGGGTTCGTTGACTGCAACGGGTCGAGCGCATGGATGTGCCATGGTAGCAGCAAGTAAGGACTAAGGCTGGTTGATCGATGTCAGATCCAGAGACGAAAAGTAATGGGCTGGGATGGAAAGTAATGGGCTAAGATAAGTCATATATTTTTGGAAGAGGGAAAAGTAGTCACTTTTATGTATTTCACAAAGCTATTAGTAATATTTGTGTCTTTATTCCTAAAACAAATTGAGAAAAACTCAAATCACCAAAATATTGAGATAAATCCAAAATATATTAGAATAGAATACTTCGTAATGGCGTAATCCGTATTATGATTCACATTATATCACTTGAATATTAAAAAACACAAATTGAATTAAATCCATCTACGTGCGACTAGAATATGTGAGAGTTGGGTACAGAGACGCAGTCCCAGCAAATTCATCCCAATTCCAATCACCGGAGCGGATGTTAATAATGATGTTATTTTCCCTTAGTCATGGTAAAGCTTCTACTTTTCTACGCTTTGAGAAAAAGGAATTGAGGCCTTTTTTCAGCTTTTCTATTGCTTCATAGTTCACGATATGTTAAGTTTTTTAAGTTTTAAGCGCTTTCCTGGTGGAAAATGCACGCACTTATATGGATGCTAGTGGTGAAAAGTATTGATAGATTTCTTCAAAGGTGAAGTAAGCATCCTCAATTTCATATGGGTTTGTATTTCTACATGTAGAAAGGCAAGGTCATTGAGTTCTCAAATTTATTGTCTTGCAAATTCTCATCTCTCCACAACTACTAAGATATCGTGAAAGCATCGAACTACGCTGGTCAGCTTTTATCCCCCACCTTTTCTCGTAGCCTTTGTTTGACTATATGATTTTAAAGAGGGTGGGAGGGGATGCGTTATATTTATTTTATTAATTCTTGTTACCATCTTACATTAGGTTAGATTGCTGGAATCTAGAAATGAAGTGGGCATAGTTTCCTTTTTATATACTACCTTCATCCCAATGGACTTTGCACTAATTGAGTTAGGTGAGAAATAAGAAAAGTAAAAATTGTGTGGTTGAAGATTGTGCAGAGGAGAGAGAAATGAGCAGAACAACAAAATAGTTACTTTAATGGGAAAGTGGCAAATTTTTTGGGACAACCAAAAAAGGAAACTTGGCAAAGTCCAATGTGACGAAGGGAGTATAATTACTTGATTTTACTAATCAAGATGTTTGGTCCCAAATACAGTGTTTGTTGGGTTTGTAACTGCGTGACGCTTAGCTAGTGTACCAAACTCTGCTTTCTGGTTAAAAGAAACCACACAAACACATTGAGTAGTTCTGGATCCTTCAGAATTTTTAATCACCTTGGGCGTCTATAACACAATCTTGAAGTATTAGAGACACCAAGAAGAGATAAAAACCAATTGAAATCGATATTTCATATGTGGTATATAAGTGAGCAAACTGAGTGGATTGACAATTGATTCAATTGTACCTTTCCTTCCATAACAGTCACATGGGAATTTATTGTACCCACGTCAATACCTATAATATCGCTCCCAGCTGATATTGAGCTGTATGGAAAGGAAATACATCATACATCAGGTATCACAATAACAACCCTTCCACTACAAAGCACCCTTAAATAACAAAATTACCTAAACTGACTGGTAAGGGATGCCCATCTAGCACTGCCCACTAATGATGGCCATGACTTATTTGTGTTGGCAGTAAACTGCATATCACATGTTGAACACGGTCAGAATGGAAAGGTTAATACAACAGAGTGAAATGATATTGAGAAACATCGAATGCAATCAACCGTTAGCAGGGACGGTGCCAGGATGTAAGATGAGTGGTGTCAAAATAATACTCCAATAGAAATTGTCTTAAACAAGAGTGCAATTAATGTGAATTCGAAATTAGGAGTACTATATTTCAACCTATTATTATTGTGCTTAGAAAATAGTGTCCATTATGTCAATGTCACGTAATGTCAAAATATGGTAATGCAATTTCAAAAATTGCAATAATTATTCATGTTTTAGGAAAATATATAGCACTCCTATTTTCTAATATTCGTTGCATTTCCTCTTATTTAAGGACATTTCTCAATACTACAAAAATAATTGTATATAAAATATAATGATTAAAATACAACTAAAAAGATAATATATGAAATGATACTAATGTTCAGTGAGCATAGTAATAATTGTAATAAGTATGGCTATGTTCAATTTCACATTCTTGTTATCATGCTGATATAAACATAATGAATATTATCAATTTTTTCTCCATCATAATTAATCTTTTCTAAATATTTTAGGAAAATCTGTATATAACACTAAAAGAAATACTACCTCCGTCCCACTAATATTGGGACAGGAGGAGGTGGCACAGTTATTAAGTTAACTGAGTTTATGTGGTTGATACTTGATATTGAATTGATAAAGTAAGAATAAAGTAAGAACGGTTTAGAGTCACACAAACTTTACCAAATTTGGTATGAGACAACCTTAGTTGGATTTCTCGAAAATGTGAAATGGGACAATTTTAGCAGGCGGAAGGAGTATTAAATATGTTGATTAACATATGTAACCCTGTAATATCTACTTGTGAGACCACTATAAACCAATTTTTTAATTTTTTGTATTCAATTTTATTTAGTTTGTAACATTCATCCATTAAGTAAAGTAGTAGTAAACAAAAATAGATATTCCCAATTTAAGAAATCCATGCTGACTAACGATAAATCATTTTCACTCAATGCAAAAATATCGAAACAAACTTTTAGATTTCTTGTAAGAAGAAACTTTTAATTACATTGATTCATTTTCTAATTAATTAATTAATTAATTATCATAACACATTGTTTTTGTCTCTAAAATTTTTCACAAATGGAAAACTTGTAAGATATAGACAATTGATTTTATATATTGATCTCATTTATATAAAATTTTGAGGTGTCACTTCTAACAATTTCAATGGTGTCATTTTCAACAATTTTAATCTATACATGTATTTATATACATTAAATTTATCATTTCAGTGGTGCCATTTGACACTACAAGCCAAAGAGTGGCTCCTTCCCTGACAGTTAGCCCATAAATATTGGGAGTTAAGTGATCAATACATAATCTTACAAAACAAACAAGGCATACTGTAACCGTCTAGCCAAAGATTGCAAAAATCAATGAATATATATCTTCTCAAAACACTGCTTTCATGAATCAATAAATATTTGGCCAACAACATAATTCTAAGCTAACCCAAGAAGATGGAAATGGAACTATTATGATGTCCTTAACGTGCTTTCATGATGAAATCATATAAGCAAAAGCTGAACAACCTGTTGAAATGGTCGAATACAGCGACTAGAAAACTTACAGCCTTGTAGTTGGATCGGGATAAGGAGGCAAAGTCACGGCGACGGAAAGATCGGAGCAATACGGCGGTCGCCATTGGATCAGAGAAGCGGCGTTTGCTTCTGCTCTCTTTCTGGAGATTTCTGTTTGATAGGGTTTAGGGTTTTACGGAAAGTTATGCGTAGAGGCGGCGAGTGGGTGTTTCTGGTTTCTGGGAAAGCATACTACGATGGCTAATTTGCTTGCGATTGTAAGAGCAGTAATTTCTGGTTTCTGGCAAAGCATACTGCGATGGCTAATTTGCTTGCGATTGTAAGAGCAGTAATTTCTGGTTTCAGGGAAAGCAGAGGGAAGCAGAGGTGTTTGGAATCAGTCAGTTTAAAGCAGAATGGGAATTTGTTTTTAGAAGTCACCTCTAAACAAAACTGATTCTAAGAGTAAATTAAGCACTAGAATCACTTCACTTATACACTTTTACTCAAACACTCCAACTTATTCTTCTGCTTCCTGAAGGAGCAGAAACAGTTTTAAGACGGATCCAAACACCCCCATAGTACCATGCTTAATTTCTGGGAAACCATAGTACTAGGTTTGTCAACGGGTCGGATACGGGCCGAAACTATAAATTCTATATCCATATCCGTTGAAATTTTTTGATCCAGATCCGGACTCATTTACCCTTCGGGTCCTAAAGATATGTTCCAGATTTGGATCCGGCGGGTCTCGGATCTGGGTCGGGTATACCCGCAAAAAAAACTAAATCACGTATGCAAACAAATATAATATATAACGAAAAAATGTTCATGTTGGAAGAGATCATATATAAATAAGCAAAATGTTGTTCTATCCATTACTGCGTATGAACTATACAATATTATATGGAGTATGTTATATGTATATTAGTGAACTCATAGAGAATCTAGAGTAGTAACTCATTAGCGAAAATTTCATTATACCAGGCCAACCACTAACTAAGTCTACAAATGTAAAAACATTTTTTTTATATTTGATTGTTTTCCTTATTTTATGTTTAAATATTTCTATGTATATTGTGTGTGTGTAAAAAATTATAACTATAGTTATATCATTACGGGTCGGGTCCAAAACGGGCCAGAACTTAAAAATCCATATCCGACCCATTTTCTCTATCATGTAACGGGTTCGGATCCGGATCCGGGAAAACGGTTCTAAATTTAGACTCATAACCTCAAATAAAGTACCGGATACGGATCGGGTCCGGGTCTAGACCCGATCCATTGACAGGCCTACATAGTATATATGATGCCTAATTTGATGAGTTTTTTCCAAAGGAGGGTAGTCTCCGAAATAAGGGTAGTTTCCAAATAAGGGTAGTTTTTCTGTGTCATTCAATTTCCACCAAATCACCTACTCCACATCATTCACATCATTTCAGTCATATGGGTATTCTTGTAAATTGTAAAAAATTGGGAAAATGTACAAATATACTCATATACTATATGTGTGAGAATAGACATACCCTTATTCTTTTGTTTGGAACAAAAAAAACTCCTAAAATTGAACTTGGGTCTAAAACTACCATTATTTAACGTTTCCTCTGCCATTAACATATTCCATTTGTCTAAAGAAATGCTTTATGAAGTAGCGGAGAAGAAATTATGCTTTGAACCCAAGATGAAAGAAACGAAGAAAGCTGCGACTTTAATTACTCTGATTGAGCAACAAATCGCAGGTAGTTAGCCAGAATATTTTTTTTAACATTTTAAATGGATTTTTTTTATAATATTTTTATTTATTAAGGTCTAAGTTGAATCTCCTTCATAAACGTGCATCAAACCAAGCTAATATGTGTAATGTCCTCTTCTTCATCAATTTCACAGCCAAAGTCAGTAAAGCGCAGTAATTTTAAGCTCATTACGAAGGACCATCCAAAATTTGCTATTGTGGAGTGAAAGCTCCAAGATTCAAATCCCAGACTCATGATAATCATGAGCGTCGTTTCTACGAGCGTCGAAATTACAGATTTGTTTCCATATTGAATTTTTTTTTTCTTGAAGAAACACTTTTGGATGGTTTTTGATAATTTAAATTGCATATGATAAAATATGAGTATAAATTTTTCAGGACAATGGATACGAGTACTTTGAGCAACAGGGCGAGGTTGTACCTGTTTGGGCTATGCATATGATAAATGAGAGAAGTTGGAAAGAAAAATGCTAAAAGTGGAGAATAAGAGATTGAATGTGTTAAAAGACAATGTCACAGTCTCACGGATAGAATCATTGAACAAGAAATTGAAGAATTGTGGGGTGAATTAAAAAATTTGAAGAACTAAGCAAATGAAGAGAGAGCTTCACTGTTGGAGAGAGTAACATTCGAAAGGCGGAAAAATACATCATTAATCTTACTAATGATTAGTAGTTGCATTGGGAGGTTAAACATAGGTGTTTGATGTGGAAGAGACACTTACTATTATGTAATCAGGATTCCCCCCCCCCCCCCCTCAAATTGTCATCTTATACAAAAATTTTAGCATCGCATGCACATACTTTTTTTTTTAAGTTTTTTGAGTTTTTACCTATTCTTAAAAGTTTTTGTGTTGTAATAGCCATTGTAACTATCTATCTTCTATTTAAAGGAGAAGTGCAGATTTGTGTAATCTAAGGCTCTTGTGCTGTAGTGCAGATTCTGGATGATCAACACAAAATACCTGTTGTTTATCCTATACTATGCATAAATAGCCGCTGTACATTAGTCCATAGTGCAGATTTCGGAATGCCTTTTCTTAAGATTTGCACCATTTGCTAAAGACCTCGTACTATATCACATGAAATGTGCAAAATGGAAAATTTACACACTACTCCAAACATGCACTGACTTAAATCCAGCAAGTTAAAAAGGCATGAACGCAAACTTAAAACAGATGAAGAATAAAATAACACCCATCTTGAACTGAATCAAAGCTGCAAACAAAAGTATAATATAAACCAATGGCAAACCGACTGTTTTAGGTTTGGAGACAAAATGGTGGACTCTTAGCAGAAAATACGAAAAGAGGGTTTCTGATCTTATACAACTATTCTAGCTCATACAACTATTCTAGTTCATACAACTATTCTTCAATTTAGCAGTCATTTTGTCTCTCTGTTATTGTAAATCTTTAGCAAGAACGGATGCCTTTCCTCTGAATTGGGTTCACGGAGCTGAAATGGTAATTCTGCAGGTATCCTTACTTCAATGTCATTCCCGGTAAATTTAATTTCCCTCGATTAATTACCACTTGGTCGTTTGGCATTTTTCTTCCTAATAGCTTGTTCGTTAGGATCGCAAACCATGTGACCACACTATGATCATCGAAAACCATTGCTTGCTGTAGAGAATAACATGCTAATATCACAGTTTCACTTTGCATACTGGGCTGCAAAAACGAAGAAAAAGTATACTAACTAATTTGAATTGGCAGAATGTGTGAACAAGAAATAGGTTCAATACCTCATAAGCCTCATAAACATATATCAATATACAATTTCAAATGTTCTTACATTAAGAGTTTGTCTTCCAAAAACAATATACAACGATATACACATGTAAACCAAATCCAGTTATCTGACTTGCCGGCCTCAACAATGGTGAAACTTTTGGATTTTTTGAGCGACTAATTCACTAGAGTCCTAAATAAATCAAAATATTAGAACAAATCAATTAAAAAAACTAATGAAGTATACTAGCAAGACATGTTGGACAAGTCATATACTAACAAACATTTACACTTTTTCAATATACCATCATAATCTATAATACAGACATTTGAGGCTTATATAATTCTCGCCATACTCTTCCCACTGAGATTGCGTTTGAAGGTAAGCTAGTTGAGGTATATATTATGGAAAACCTAAACTAATTTTTAGAAGGGAACAAATACAAGGGTTGTGAAATAGTTAGAACATGTGTATTACACTCACTAGTAAATATCCGGCATCTTTTGGTTGTTGAATGTTTCATTTACAACGCAGAAATTTAAACAAAAAATAGGTTTTTGCGCCACGCACTGACAACACCCAGTAGAACACCCCATAAAAAAATGAATGGCAGTCAAAGGCACGCCAACATCATTATCTTTTAGTCGGGATAAATGAAGAACCCTAATTTTAGACAAATTTAATCCCCAAATTCAAAACTACTATTCAAAAGATACCATGATACTTACCTCTAACTGGTTGCTCTATCGGAGTAATTAAAGTGGCCTTGTTCCTTTCATTCCTGGTTCAAAGACAATTTCATCTCCTGCTTCAACGAGATTTTCTTTAGGCTGACGGAATGCATTAGTTGTGCGAAGGAAACGTTAATGAAGAGTAGTTTTAGACTTTTAGACCTAGTTTTAGTTTTAGCAGTTTTATTGTTCCAGAAATTGGATGAGGGTATATATGTACTTACCCTCATAGTAGAAGGATAAGTTTGTACCTTCTCCCTAAAAAATTCCTAGCTCCTGAGAATTGAACTCAGGACCAAAATGATGCACTTGCATCTTGGAACCTACTAGGTATTGGCTTGTTGATACAATCACACATTTACAAGTATTTAACATCTATATATGCAACGTATTTTGATATATTCAATTCAAATACTCCCTCCGTTCTTTAATATTAGTCCTCCTAGGCTTTGACACGGGTTTTAAGAGGAAAATAGTAGGGGTAGTGTAAAAGGTGTAATGAGTAATGGGTAAATGAAAAAGTAGGAAAGAGAAAGGGGTAATGGTAATAAAAGTTGGGGTATAAAGGTATATTTAGAGTAAAAACTTTCCTTAAATAGAAAAGGAGGACAGATAAAAAAACGTCCCAAAAAGGAAAGAAGGACTAATAAAAAAGAACGGGGGGTAGTATAATTTAAAATAATTCTACATTAATTAAATAAAATAAGAAACAAAAATGACAGTTGTTACATTAATTAACCTTTGGAAAAAGGGTCAGATAGGCCCTCGAACTTACATAGAAAGGTCAAATAAGCCCTTATATAGGAGGTTTTGTCTAGCAGTCGCCATTTGGGGCGGTTGCCGGTGGAATTTTTTGAAGAAACTTTTTGAGCATCTTATTCATTAATTCTAGTTTACTCATACCAAATTTCAGATAAAACTAAAGTGCAGTTATCTTCAAGAATTCATTTGAATGTCTTCCCGATTGAATTTCAGATTACATTGATAATGCTCTCATCATGAACATGAACATTGATAATGCTCTCATGAAGGGATCTGCTCCAACCACTAGGGGTCGAGGACGTTAGCAAGATAAATCATCCAACAAGGGTACTACTGACCCACCATTCAACATGATTGTTTCCACCATATACGAAAATGTGTTGTATGCCAGCAGTACGCCTCGGTTCTTGGTTGACCATCAAGTTTCTATACCCCCAATCATTACAGCCTTGTCGTTCGCGA